TTCTCCAAATGCTGTCTTTCTAAGGGAGTGTTGAATCTGGAATTGAACTCTTTGTAACATTTCCTTTGAGTCAGCCCAGGCTCTTAGCTCTTTTGCATCCTAAGAGTAGTATTTTAGAGGTCTTAAAATATCTGGTGTTGGTCGCAGTGTGAGGTAAAGCCAGATTTTTAAGATAGCCAACAGGTCAGTTCTGTTTCAAACAACAACATTAATGATAAGATTTGGAGGTAGAATATTTATGGCACATTTTGATGTTTTGATAAGAACAGATGAAATAATCATGTATTATCTATAGGCAAGCTGTGCTGTTGTTACAGAGTTAATCTGTTTCCTTAAAAATATTTGTTAGATGTTGAGGCTCTAGGCTCTTTGAGGATAGAAACTTTGGCCCTGGAAAAAGATTTTTTTAACTAAAACCTTAATTGTTTTGTTATGCCCAAGTTTTCACGACCGAGAGACCACCAAGGCGCCAAGCACCGATGCAATCACACGAGGGTTTATTTGACAAGCTTAAGCTTGGGCCCAAGCATACCCGGCACAGCAGAGTAGGGACTTAGACCCCAACCAGATTACAGTCAGAGTTTTTAAAGGCAGAGTAGGGGTGGACTCGGCGGTGGGTGAGGACAAAGGGGTTGATGTTAGTCTCTAAGGAATTTTGGAAGCAAGGTCTCCAGGACCTTGAGGGGCTAGCTATTATTGGGAGAAAGGTTATTTATTACCAATAATAAAAATCTTCTCGTGAGACCCTTTAGATGTATATCAGTGGGCCATATGCTTGGGAATGATTCTCGACACTCTCTTGGAGATTTAGAGATAAAAGTTTCCTAAAGGAATTGTTAAAGTAGACTTACAGGATCCTGGTTGGACCTGTTGGAGTAGGGGGTCGGTCAGGCTAGGATTGTCCTTAGCAAAACCTCAAGGTGAGGGCAGTTGAGTCCCCAGGGGAGAGCCACTCTGTCTGTTTCAAGGGCTTGTCAGTAGGTAAGGAATTTTAATGATTTTCTTCTGCCTCTGTTTCCCACATCAGCTAAACTTGAGGTGGGATGGCCTTAATTTTCTCGGCCTCCACATTTCCCCCTGAACAATTTTGACCCTTAAATCTTTAAGGTTGTTGAAGGTGGAAGGTCTCATCTTCTGTAACTTCTTCCTGCTGAATAGGGGTATAGAGTTGTCCCTACCTACTTGGGTCAACACTGGTCAGTTGGGGAATGTGTAGGGGAGTTATGAAAGACAGAGGCAGCTGAGTCCAAGGCAGACTGCTCAGGTGATCTTCCCAAGTGGAAGGATCATTTGTGGAAGTTATGACAGCGGAGGAGTTGAAGTCAGGTGAGGAGACATGGGAGAAAATAGCAAAACATGATTAGTGTAACAAAAAGAAAATGAAGCTCAAATAAGTTTTTTGCTATTTGAAAAAAAAAACCTTTTTCCAGTCCAGGAGTTTAAATCAATCATTAAAGGAGAGAGGGACTTTTTAAATTTATTTATTTATTTTTTAAATAAACATATAACGTATTTTTATCCCTAGGGGTACACGTCTGTGAATCTCCAGGTTTACACATTTCACAGCATTCCTCATAGCACATACCCTCCCCAATGTCCATATCCCCACCACCCTCTCCTGTCCCCCCTCCCCCTAGCAACCCTCAGTTTGTTCTGTGAGATTAAGAGTCACTTATGGTTTGTCTCCCTCCCAATCCCATCTTCTTTCATTTTTTCTTTTCCTACCCCCCAACCCCCCCACATTGCATCTCCACTTCCTCATATCAGGGAGATCATATGACAGTTGTCTTTCTCCGATTGGCTCATTTCGCTAAGCATAATATCCTCTAGTTCCATCCACATCGTCGCAAA